CCCATACACGCCTAGGCCACGCGTACAGACTACCGAAAAAATATGCATATTTCTTTGGCAGGAAACGATTTCGCGAACCAAGCAATGCATAAAGCTGAAACTTTGCAGGGACATTCTCTGCGCAAGTGCGAGCCAAAAATTTCAAATTCAGCTGCCGGGCACGCTTATGCAACGCGTACGATTACGTCAGAGTTTGCAACTTCTTGCTGTGCTAACTCGAAAACTTGCCGGAAAACAGTGGCTGAAATTTTGTCAGCATGTTTGTCGCCCATATGGGAAATCGTATACCTAAAATGAGTGCCGATTTGCACCTGCGCCACGACTTAGTGCACTTCAAAGATATTTTGTAACGAAGTGGATATTTCGCTTACCGGATAAGATGCGAGGCTAAAACTTCAGTGGGATATTCCACTTTCAAGTGCGGTCTTACTTCTGCTTGGAATTGAAATTCTCTGCAGGTGGTTACGAGAAATACTCAACTTTACCGAAAAATCAGAACCGACTGTGTTTTGCAGCGAAAGATGGCCCTCATCCAAAAACGTAAATGAACATTCAACTCATTTGCCCACTTAGATTTTTTAACAAACGGCCGCTGTAGCAACATTTCCACTTTTTAGTGAACTGGGAATTTGCATTTTTTTCAAAAAGCGAGCATTTATCGAAACAACCGGGCTTCATGCAAAAAACTGGTAATCATGTGCCTGGAGGTCCATGTCGCCTTATAATGCAACACCTCCATCCCAACCGACGTCCTTTCTCCTGAACGCCGGAAGAGGCCAAAGCGCAGCCAATATGAGCCCAATTGTTAAGCTACAGCGCAGGGATCATTCCTGCTATTAGCGATCTGTGAGTTTAGTATGAAAACACATGATCGCACCGTCAAGCCTGGTGCGTTCTCAGTTAGAATTGCGGCAATAAACTGAACTGTAAATAAGTAACTAAGCACTCACACATTCAAACATTTGCATATTTGCGAGTGAATTTGAAATTGGTTGGTGTTTTTAGCCAACAGCAGAGTGTTCATACGTCACTAATCCAACAGTGTGCGGCGGCAGGTGGCGGAGCAGCACAAGGACAAGTGGCTACCGGCGGTGCAGGTGGTTTCCTCCAGCATGAGAAAAATGAAGCACTCCAGGTTTGCCTTCAACAGTAAATCTTGGGAAATCATACGGATGATAATCCGTCTGTAATATGTTATACTTTTAACACTTTGTCAGTGTTCGGATTTCCTCTAACATAGCTCTTTCATTCTCCCTTCATCTTTATTGGTGTTGCTCAAACTGTTCGCTTTTTTTTTAATATACACGCATACGCAATAGACAGTTACTGCCGACTTCCTGTTATTTTTCTGCTTGGCCGTTCACTGCTGACCGCCAGATTGGTCATGCACTT